TCCTGATATTCTTAATGAATTTTGTAGGCTAGTTATTTAACACCAACGCGTCTTCTATCTATTTCATTTCATCATCTAGGTCTTTTCTTGTACTACATAGTGTTACTGCTCGGTTTGTTAGACACTTAACTAAGCCTTCCTTTACAGATAACGACGGATGAGATGAATTAAAGTCTAAATATTTATTAGAATGTGTTGGCTTTTTATAAACGTTAGTGTGCAGTCTACCTTCTTCTCTTCGTTTTATTTTACAATCTAACATAGCTAATTCTCCTTGTTCATTTTCCGATTGAAATGTGAATTTTATTCCCTTTACTAGTGAGTTTATATGTGTGAAGAAGCTGGAGGTATGTCCTGTTTTAAACACAGTGAAAGTGTCATCCACATATCTCCACCATATTTTTGGAGTAGGACTAAATGTATTAAGAGCAATATTTTCCCAGCTGTTCATAAAGATATAAGTATAAAACTTGGGCACTGTGGTAGAGTATAATTCCATAATGGATAAGATTTTATTTTGATAAATCACACAGTGTAGTTCAGTTATATTAACTGATGACGTTTCGAGCACAAACTATTGCTCAATCATAATCAACTTGGTATGATTATGAGCAATAGTTTGTGCTCGAAACGTCATCAGTTAATATAACTGAACTACACTGTGTGATTTATCAAAATAAAATCTTATCCATTATGTTCATAAAGATATTTGCTATGATAGGGGATATTGGTGATCCCATTGCCACACCTGTTTGTCTATACATTTTGCCTTGGGATTTAAAGTGAGTAGATGTGATACATATCTGAATTCCTAAAATTATTTACTCAATGGGCAGCTTCGTCGTATGACTACGTTCAGGATCTGCAGTTAGTTCTTTCTTAACTGCTTCTAAGGCCATATTGATTGGTATATAAGTATAAAGACTAGTTATATCAAAACTAACCATTGTTTCATCATTCTCTAGTTGAATGTTCTTCAGTTTATTTTTCATCTCAAATGACTTAGCTAGTCTAGATTTCGAATGATTTCCGATGGGACATAATATAACAGCCAAGTGTTTTGACAATTCATAAGCAAGTGTATTTCTGAAATCTACTATTGGTCTTATGGGGTAACCTGGTTTATGTATTTTTATAGCACCATATATTCTACTAGCGTTATTGGTTTTAGGCATTAGATGCAACCATTTAGATTCACCCCGTGATAGCTTCATACTATGTATTAAATCTGCTGTAGATTTCTTAATCTTATTCATTACTGTATCTACCAGTTTCTTAATTCCCTCATTTGGGCTGACCCGTTGTAATGTGTTCAGTGACTTTCTTTATATAATCAGATTTATCTAAAACTACTGTAGAGTTTCCTTCATCAGCTTTAGTGATGACGTTTTTATCCGATTTTGTTAAGTTTAGTTCACTCAAACAAAATTATATCCTTTAACAACTTATCATCAAAATCATCACACAACCACAAAGAGAAGCATTGAATTCAGAGATTAAACAGGAACAGTGACGAATAATAAGGATCAAATCAACAGACGATATGCAAATATCACGACAGTGGTATACAGTCAAGGAGAAAAAAGAAGCATCTTAATTACAAAGTTAGCTAAAACGTTCAAATAAGTATCAATTACTTATGTGATTAGGTTATACAGGAAGGATTTTCCAAGCAGTTTCTTCGTAACACTAGTTGACTGGTAACAGTCAATTAAATATTCTAAGGTAAAGCATCTTAAAGTCTTCTTTCCCTCCATTCCATTATAAAATTCTATTGGAATATGCTAGTATTACCTTGTAGAAAGGATTTTCTAACTAGAGCCATTGTGTTTTAGCTATGGTTAAAAATTTTTTTATTTCATCTAGTATGAGTGAATAAAACAAAATACTTGAAACCGATGAGTACCAACAAGTTGGATGTGAGAACAGATATTTTCTAGCTACCGAACCCCCTGGTCTGATGGTTTGAACACAGAAATGTGTACAACTGTATATTATTTCTATTGTATTATTGTTCCTTTGGGTTCCTAGTGCAACATAGGGCTTCAACTACACGCCTCCACTTGCTTCTGTCTTCTGCTGTACTTTTCACCTGCGTCTACGTTAATCCGTACTATTTCAGTTTCTCTTCACACGATCTCCTCCATGTCACCCTTGGACGTCCCACTCACCGCTTCCCTTTCGGGTTCCACTCGAGCGATGGCCTGATGCGCGATATCACCCAGCGGCCTACTCAGCTCAGCGAGTGTCCAATCCATCTCCACTTTCTCCTGCATATTTGTTGGGCGATTGGTTCTTGTTTTGTTTGTTCCCATAGTTTCTTGTTTGTGATTCTTTCCGGCCATGTGATCTTCAGTATAGAGCGAAGACAGTTAGTTGTTGATACAGATCTGCAACAGGCTGTTGGAAATATTCTTTGTGACCAGCGAAGTTTCTGATCCGTATAGAAGAACTGACTGACTTGACGTTTGTATTGAAAATCCGAATCATTTTGTTGTTGATCCTGAGTGACGAAGATTTCGAGATTGGTTCCAGGTTGATGAATGTGTTTCTCGCCTTCTCGATTCTCGATTTGACATCCTCGTCCGTTGTACAACTGTATATCCATCCGGAACTTCCTCGAGTTAAGCGCAGTCACAAAACACTCCAACAATAGCGAAAAAGACAGTAATCATAAATAAAATCTACGGAACTATGTAACAAAAATAATAATAATATTTCCAAACGCAAAATTACTTTAACAATGCAGTTAGGCAACTATACAAATCAAATTAGAGCTCAAATACGAAACAAGTACTGCAGAGCAAAATAGTTAACCGAAATTCAACTGTAAGAAGTACCTGAGAATCAAGTAGAATATTCCCAACAAGGAGGAGTGAAAACTCCATCCACAACAATCACACACCAACAATTCCCTAAAGAAAATCCAGTGTCAGAATCATCTCGATTCAATTAGACAAAATAACATATTATCAGTATCACACAGCCACAATGAGAACCTTCTAAACTAGAGACTAAACAGGTAGAAAGACAAATAATAAGGATATGTGCGTCGGTAGCACAGCGGTTAGGACGCTGGTCGACCATGCACATGTTCCGGGGTTTGATCCCCTGCCAACGCACATCTGATATCAGTGGTTGGCCTGCAAAATTTGAGCTACCGATATCAAATGCTGAAAACTCCATACTTTTACCAAAAAATAATGTGTGAAATCAAGCTATAATCCAAATAATTAATAAATAAGTGTTAGAACAATGATATACAGTTTAGGAGGAGAAGGGGTATTAATTGCAAATTTATTTGAAACATTCAAATGACTATCAACATTGTAATTAGATCGTTGAGGATGGATTTTTCTAACAATTATTCCGTTAAATGGCCGTCGACGTCATTTCCTAGCAGTCACTGTATATATCGCTAACTGATAAACGTTAGAACTCATGGGCTGGGTACTGCATTGCATCCCAGGGGCTGAATATTCAATGGGTTCGTGTCATCACTTGAAGTTTATGCGTTCGATACACAGTGGGGTTACGCGCTTTTACTTCTGAAGAGTTTCTAACTAAGATGGGATACTTGTCCAGTATTTCTTATGGTTTCCAAAGGTTCTCTAATTTTCAAGTGTCAGTCCGTAGGGATCTGATTACTTCCAAATTTGATCACGGATTGTTATCAACTAGAGAACCACTGAAAACCAGAAAGTTATTTTGTTCTAGTTTTTAAGTCTTCAGCAGCATGCACCCTCTACCCCACCTGAGTTCCTTCTAGTTACAGGACTAGACTCTCCGAAAATTCGCCTACTAGGAGGGAATTCAACTGCTGGTCCATGAATTCTAATTTCTTTCAATCCATGATCATTAGCGTAACTGTCAGCCAGTGTTACAGGCAAACAGATACCCACACACCCGACCTGATGGATCCCACTGGTCATCAGTACCTTAGAGAACTCTAAGCAACTTTGTCCTTTAGTCAGGCATTAGTGCATTTCTCCTACTTTCTTCTCTTCCTTTGTGTGCTACATGGAGTGTGGCGACTTGAACTGCCGCACATATGTGCAAAGTTCTGTGTCGAAAACCGACCGACCGACCGGGCATTAGTGAGTGAGCATTAGATTAATTTTCTCTAATTGTTATTACTTTGTGAAAGCAATCTCGAAACCAATCAAATCTCTTCAGTATCAACACTTAAAAAGATAGAAAAACAACCAATCAGAATTAATTATTTGTAAAATTTTTAGACAGTTATCATTATACTACTAATAGGGAAAAAGAACTATACCCTTACATTTATATTTCGCCATTGACAAGATAACGGGATACATAGACATGGAATAATTTTACCAGTAACTTTATAGGTGGGTGTAGAATAATCTGTATGTGTGTGTGTATGTGCGCATGCATGCGTGTATGCATGTGTAAGAAGACATGTGGGACATTTAACGATGTCATAAACACTTTCAAGTGACGAATATAACTCGTTCGCCAACTAATCTCACTACAACAAATATATACACATATGTCTACTCCATTCTATGGCTACAAAAATGAAATATTGTCGTACATACTTTCAATAAATCCGTAATCATATTTACTCATATTAAAGCAAACATAATCTACAGACTAAGGGGGGGGAAGGAGCGGTTGTGTAGATCACTGGCTTTTATGTTTCTGAAAAAACATTTTTTTTCCAAGTAGAGTTTATTGTCGTGTAGATTTCACAAGTAACTGTATATCTGTCTCATATCACAGGTTATGAAATAACAATGCTTTGTGTATATGTGTAATTGTGCATATATATATAGGTACATTTTTCGAGATAAGATGACACCAAACACATTTATGTAACTATGCTAAGCACACATACAAATATATGAGATTATGTATGCGCAACAGTGTTACTATAAAGACTGAACAACGACAACTCGTCTATATATTATATATATATATATATATATATATATTACATCACAGTTATTTGTTTATCTTCTGAAAAACAATTGCCGCGCCACTCAATTTTCAATAAATCGTTTACATTAAACATTGAACAATTAACTATTTTAAACAATCTTAAGTGAAGAATATTCAAATACGGATTTATATATTTTAAAGTAAAATAAAATAAAATTACAGTATTATGACAATTAAAAATTATCAAAAAATGAAAATAAACTTTTTCAGAAAATGATTTCATCAGTCATGAAGTCGATTTCATCAGTATTAAAACAAATGAACATTTTAACAATACATAATAATAATATTAATAATAATAATAAGAGGATGAATAGAAGACGTCAGTTACATCATCGACAACCATCTTTAAATGGATTATTTATTTTCATTTTATTAATATATTCATTGACAATTGAAAGTACAAATGCATTTGGAAATATGGGTTATTGGTGGTAAGTGTATTTTAATATTTATTATTATGGTTATTACCGTTATTATTCTTTGGAGTTATAAGTGGAAAATACGGTTTCAGCAGCATACATGATCACATGATCTTTTCCAGGTCACCTTTAGATCCACACCCAACTCATCATTTTCTATTTAAGTTCCACCTCGGAGACTACCTGGAGTGTGATGACACAGAGGTCGCCTCAGCGTATGTCCAATCCATCTCCTTTATCACCTTCTCCATTTTTGTTGGAAGATAGATAGTTGGTTGGTTGATTCTTTGCATGCCAGAGTTCCTTGTGACTAGTGTCCAGTAAAAGTATCCAATAGAGTCATAAAGGAGGTCAATGGTGAGCCCAAATAACTCACCGGTAACGTCTCTGACTTCAGGCGACACTGAGTGACATGGGTTCGAATCTCAGAAGCGACATGAGTTCCTTCAAGGTTGCAGATACGCCTAGGCGAGTGGTGAGTGCCAACTAGCACGAAACCTAGTTCCAGCTGGGTTTCTAGCTGATTGCCTCCAACCATCTAATATGCTCCAATTCTCTACTGTCTTGTCCCTTCAAAGCATACCTAGTGGTATACTGACAACCATTCGAAAGTGCGCTTTTGTACAGACTGTTCTTCAAGGAAGTATATATTCAAATCATTCAAATATGGTAAAATCGAGTAAATTTGAGGTATTTTACACAATGTCAAATTAGACAGTCCAATGATTTAAGCAGACCACTAGAATCAATAAAGCCAACTATATACTAAGATTGTATTTCCTGACTAGTGAGCACTACTGTCTATTGTGAGTCATCTGTTGCTACTCATACTAATCAGTAGTATATATTGTCTTTGTATATTTTAGCATTTAATTTATTACAATTTGGATTTCATTACAAGCTGATATCATTTAAAGAACTATTAGAAAATGAAATAGCCACAAGCTAAACTTTTGAACTTTAAGATAGATTTTCAAAAGTTCTCATGAGGAATCGTCGTCAGTACGATCCACAAATGTAAGTGTAGAACTTGGGCACTGTGGTAGGAGATGTAATTCCATATTAGATAAGTTTATTTTAATAATCACACAGTGATGCAGTATATCACAAACTACTACTACTGATCATAATCAAATTGATATGATTATCATTTAGTGGTTCCAATTTATATGATTTTTGATTACCTAATAGATTTACTTTTAAATCATCGAGAATACCCATCACGATGTCAGACAGAAAAGAAAAGAAAGAGCTCAGCAAACATATCTTTTCAGAGATTTCATTCTCAAAAGCAGCTATACAATCACATTTCTATATACACAGCATACATAGTTACAGTTATCATTTAATTCCATATAATAACTAAGGGCAATTAAAGGTGATAATAATTTTCAACTGGATATGGAAAATCCAAGGTGTGAATAAAGATCACAAAAAGCATAGAAACAAAATTACACAGGATTAGCAAATAGTTGAGTGATGTGCAAAAGGGCTTTTAACGAAGACAGGTGTGAGCAGGATGAGCATGGAAAGAAATTGAAATAATAGCTGTTTTTATAACTGAAAATGAAGAAAAATAATGAGGGAAGTTAAAAAAAAGTAGAAACAAACAAACGAAAACTAAAGAATCAAACAGAACTAAATTCATGGCAGATGTAAAGATTGAACCACTCTCTTCTCAACACATATCTCCGCCTCTTCATCACATATGCCGAGTGTCTCTAAAGTACAAAGAAGACAGAAACACACTGCTTATGATAGATTTTTGTTTACTTTGTAAGTGACTCTGAATGCTAGATAAGTCAGTTGAGATTCTGCGACAGGTGTTCTGATGAGGTGTTCAATTATGGTGCTTCTGATTCAACCAGTGCCACCTCTGTACAGCCATGCTGGGTGATATTCCTTAAAGCGCTTTGAATAGACGCACATAGAACAGCCTATGTTCCTAGCTCTACAGGAGCAGATGAATTGATATTTGCTCATTGGAGTTTATCCTTCAAAAATTGCTTAGAAGTAGTGGGCGTTTAGAGAATATCACTTTTAATGTTGCTACAGGGATGGTCTTCTTTAGGGAACCAGAAATTCTCTTCTTTAGAATATCTGCTGTTAAGTCTCCCTCGAAATCCAGATTCATAAACAACATTTTCTTCTGTACTGAAGCGTATTCTTCTCCTTTTAGCTTTGGTTTCATGTCCTCCACAAAACGTTCCAGGTATCCATTTTGAGAAATGAGAGTTCTTTTTCCAAACAGTCAGTGTTGTAAATTCTTCAGATACGATCGGTCAGTGAAATGATGAGAGCTCTTTTTCGACTCACGCTTATCCAACATTTTCCTTTTGCTTACTGTACCTTTTCACTCTTACCCATTGGTCTTGAACTTTCTGCCATCATATGCATAAATAAATAAATAAACTCTGGTTTTTCAGTTAATAAAACAACTTGTATTCCCACCTTTTACTCCATTATTACGCTAATATCTAATATCAAATGCTGTTTTAATTTGAACTAATTGAGAAACCATAGGCAGGTGAAGAAAAATAGCCGTGAAATAGAAGACGACCTCTTTTTTATCCCACAAATACATTCATTCTTGTTCTGTTTAAAAATGGCCTATTTGATTCTTGACTGCAGGATTTCATTATGAGCTCACGTCGGTTAGAGAACCATTGGAAATCCAGTGCTGGAGTACTGGACAGCTGTTTTGTCCCCCTAGTTTGGGACTCTTCGGCAGTACGCACCCACCCAACGAAAAAGCTGTCCACTACTTCAGCACTGGTTTTCCAACGGTTCTCTAACAGATTTCAGTTCATGATGAAATCCCGTAACCCTTAAAATACCCACGAGAGTATACCCGATTCTTGATTGTTCCTCGTGAATTTGTCACCCTCTAAAGTGTTTTTGAATGAGTTATATGATTAAGTGATGAGCACTGAAGGAAAGTAGAAGTATCGGTGGTTCAACGGTAGAATGTTCACACACCACGTATACGGACTGGATTTGACTCCCAACCTTGGGCACTCCTATACCACGCCTAGCTGGAAGTAAGTGCAGCAAAACGAGAGATCGTCAGACTTGAGGCTAACAATCCCTGCCCTATAAAAACAACATCGCAGCTTCTTAAACTTCAAAACTTGAAGACCAAAGCCCAATATTCTCCCAGGAATGCAAAGGAGTGGAAAAGAAGAAGAGGTTAGCAAATATTTTTGATCATTCCTTACCTCACCTTATGAATTCTTCGATCTTTGTCTAATTAATTACCATCAGATGTAATGTACACATAAGTAAACAGGAGAATAAAAGAAAAGACAAACTGAGGTGAAATGTATTCACACACACAACCACACACACAAACACTCAGTTTATTACTCTCTCAAATCAATGGTGAATAAAAGAAAAATATCCAAATCTTTTTTTCTTTTTCTGGTAACAAGCTTACATGTAAGAAAATCTGTTCTAAATTATAATATATATATACCTACATGTATTCCAAGATATAGGACGATGAATAGTGTTAAACTACACAATCTGAACATATGTACGTGTTTCTTTGATACAAAAAAATGGAGTGAAGTTTGGTAATGATAAAGGTAAGCAAAGAAACTCCCCCCTACCCCCAAAAAACCGATCCTTTGATCAAAGAATGCGAAAAAAATGTAAACGCCGTGGGTAATAAATAATTAGTTGACTCTGTTATAGAAAGAAAAAGGAAATATCTCTTAGGATTGTAAACACGCTGAGATCACGTTCCAGTTCATGGAGATAACGGATAGTGTGACTGATAAGGCATGATATATAACAGTGTTGTAGAATTAGCAAGATTAGCGGGTGATTAAAATATTACTCAGCAATGGTGAAAATGCCGACAAGACCAAAATTCTAAGAGATTATTCAAGTGTTTGTTTGTAGGGATTTGATTGGCTACAGGATTTTCATCATGAGCTGACATTAGTTAGAGAACCATTGGAAAACCTGGGAGTACTGGACAGCCGTTTCTTCCTAGTTTGGGACTCTTCATCAGTATGCACCCACCAGGATTCGAACTCAGGACCTTCTGGTTTACAAGGCGAGCTCGTAGACCATTAAGCCACTGGGACCTGATCAAATGGCCCATGAATTTTAACTTCTGCCGATTCACGAGATAGCGCGACCCCTAGCCAATGTCTTCAGCTAGTATTCGTCCTCACACCCGACCTGCTGCACCCTACCAGTAGGGTGGTAAACCTGGTAAAGAGGGAAGACCGGTCGTGGAAACAGCAAACCTACCCCGTAAAAAGTAAAAAAAGACCGCCACTACTCAAATTTCAGAGCTCAAGCTTGAAGGTCTGCCCCCATGTTCTATTCGGAAGGCAAAGGGATAAAATAAAAATGAATACGGACTGAATAAACAAAACGAAAAATAAATGGGGCCAAAGTAGAAATGAAGACTATAATAGTTTAACAAAGGTGGATTAGGACCATGAGAGAAGGAGGAGTAGTTGAACAAACGTTTTCTGTAAACACACATCTGACTTTTCTATTTCATTGGCTAAACTTTATTAATGCAGATGAATTTTCTATAGTTTGGTTTGTAAGGATTAGTTATGTTTTACGAGTTGATCACGGACTGATATCAGTTAGAGAACCATTGAAAACCAGGGAGTACTGGACAGCTGCTGTTTCATCCTAGTTTGGGAATCATCGGCAGTACGCACCCACTGGCAGGGGTCGAACCCAGGACCTTCCGGTTACAAGGCAAGCTGGCTCGTATACCATTCAGCCACTGGGACCCGATTCAATGGCTCATGAATTCTAACTTATACCAATTCGTGATTTAGCGCGACTTGCACTAACCAGTGTCATCGGTGGGACATCCATCCTCACACTTGACTGGATGAACCTCACTGGTCACGACTTCTCACTAGAACTTCAGGAAACTCCGTCCTGTAGCAAGTCACTAGCGAGCATCAGAATAATTTTCTATAGTTTGGTTTGTAAGGATTAGTTATGTTTTACGAGTTGATCACGGACTGATATCAGTCCGTGATCAACTCGTAATGCAGATGAGTCGGATATGTAACGATTTTCGTCAAGTTGTTTTCCGCCATTAAAGAAAACTTTAGAAGAAGAGAATGTTGACCAAATGTTCAATTATTCAGCTTACTATAGTTCCACTTCCACATCTTTGTAAATACACGTGGCGGTTTCCTTGCACTTTTTTTTGACAAAGACTACGGCAAACCACCAATCAATACACTTAGCTTCACAAGGGAAAGTGAACTGGTACACACAAACAGAGGTGGTCAACTCTGGGATCTGTTCTTTCAGGTTATTGAAGAGTAATGGTCGACTGGAAAACACAATCCTAGAAAAGCCGGAGTGCTGTATATACAGTAGAGGCGTGTTCAACCATTGCCTCTTTCATCCTCTGCGATAAACTACTATATTCCTTATTCCTAATTTGGCCCAATTAATTTTTCATTTTGTTTATTCAGTCTGTATATCCATCCTTTATTATGTCGATTGGTATTATAATTATTTTCAATTTGAACAATTTCCACTTTTATTACACTCGTCACTCTCTATTAAATTTAAATCAATATATTCTTTTGGAATGTTGTCTTATCTAAATTTTCACCTCGTCGCCTGATATGAAATTAAAGCGAGTGCCTGGATAGTTCTCAGGATCTAGTAAAGATGATGTAACCAGTTTCTAAGTGAAATGAGGTTAGATCATCACGATCTACCATTGCTATTATTATTATTTCCCTTGGTTCCAAGTAGAAAATAGAGCTTCAGAAGCATACGGTCATTTCATTCTGTTTTCTGCAGTCATTTTCAGCTGGTTCCACGATTATCCATACACTTTCATTTCCTTCACACATGATCTCCTCCATATCACCCTTGAGGCTACGCCTTCAGTCGTCGTTTCTCATTCGGACTCCTTGTAGAGGGATTGTATTGCAAGTGATTTCACTCAACGGGCACTACCTAGTCAGTGACTAATACTAGTTGGGGAGAATCTTCCAGTTAAGTTTACAGTGTGGCCGCCATGCTAGGTAGCTCTCCATCACAGTGCATTTAGAATTTTTGCTATTAGATGGTTGGAGGTAGTCGGCTGACTGATAGAATTCAGTCTGCACCAAACAAAGGACTGGACACATTATACTAGTTACTTACTACCTACCCAGTGTCCAATCAAAATATCCAATACAGTTCTACAGGAAGTCAATCGCCAGGCCGAATAGCTGCTTAGTGTTAACACGGGTCTAAATCTCAGGAGGGACATGAATTCCTTCAAAATTGCAGATAAGCCTTTCTGACTGATGAGTGCCAACAAGCACAAGACCTAAATCAGTCAAGGAGGGTTTCCTTCCGATTGCCTTCAACCATCTAATAACAAACCGTTATTTAAACAGTTGAAATCTGATTTAAGTAATCAATAAGGGGTTACAGTGAGTGTCTCCCTCTTCTTGATCAACTTCCTGCACTTGATCTTCTTTAAATGTATATGTTGACTTACTTTCACACTTATATAGTTTCACCATCATTTATTCAACGCTTCTGATGTCTAACTAGATGAACTACACTCACAGTATTTTCATTTTACACATTTCATTTGTTCATTAATAATAATTTTCTAATGAATTGCGTAATCTCATTATTTATATACCACAATATCTCGTTGCTAACTTTACCCTGATTATTTTGTGAGAAACTTCGATTATACTACATACCCTGACTCCACACATTTTGCGTTTCTTTGAGAAGCTTTGGTCACATTATATTACATAAGTAGAGCAGTAATTTTTATACCGTACCAGCCTAACATCTCACTTCCCGTATGTACCTTGATCATTCTTATTTTTGTTCGACATTTATTTCTTTAATGATCTAAAGTAGGTTGAAATTTTGCGAATAAAACTGCTGAATTTCATTGTTCATACAACCACTGGTTCCCTTTATTAGTTTGGTTAAATAAAGAACAAACATGAGCTGACATCAGTTAGCGAACCATTGGAAAACCACTACTGGAGTACTGGACAGTGAGCTGTCTTGTCCTAGTTTCGGACTCTTCAGCAGTACGAGCCCACCGGAGCTCAAACTCAGCACCTTCCGGTTACAAGGCGGGTGAGCTCGTAGACCATTAAGCCACTGCGACCCGATCCAATGATTATTCCATGAATTCTTACTTTGCCAATTCACGACGTAGCGCAACCAATTCGAAATGTCTTCTTCGATGAGTTACTGCCTCACCTTCAACCTGCTCTATCCCACTGGTCACGGATTCCTACTAGAACCCCAGTTAACTGCCTGAATAGAGCCAGTCTCTAGTGAGCATCAGTTCATGATGAAATCCTCCAGCCAATCAAACAAAATCCCTACAAAAACCAATACTTGAAAGAACGAACATGTTTGCAGGATAATACATTTGAGCTCGTTTCATCTAGGGGATTCTCTTCGTCTGCTTAAGTCTTGAGCAAAATCAAATTATAAGTTACAAAATCTTTTGAACATACTTCTTCACAATGACTTCGAGTTATAGATAGAAAGTATAGGCAACATAATTCTAAAAAATGATGTAAGTAGGCGAATTATACAGTGTTAAAAGAGTAACTATTTATATAATAATTACACAACGGTGGCAGAGTTTATGTTTCGCTTGCAAACAAGGATAGACTAGAGACAAATTACAAGATAGAACAACAAAGTGAATTAATGCATATTATGATGGAGAGTTAAAGAGTGTGGGAGTGAATAGTGAAGTAAAATTATGATACAGACAAAACAGTTTAGTAGATTTAGAAACTTAATAATGAGTTCAACTCAGTAAGTGAAAATCAAAATACAAAATAAGCAAAAGAGAACAATACATAAAATCATACGAACGAAACAACTGCAGTTACCAGAGTAGTGAGAGATTAGTCACGCTATCTTCCTTTATACAGAAGTTGGGTTGAAGTCTTTTGATAACAATGACTTCTGTGAACAGAAGTAACCGTGGTTGTTTATTTGTGTACTGATTCCTTTGAAAGCCTGGCAGTTCCAGTAGAGAACAGTTTGCTGCCTTTCAAATGCAGACCTTTAGCGATATGCTCAGAAAATCTGGGATACTGTCTCCTCTCAGTCCTTCCTATGTACTTGCTAACGTATGTGCAGGTGAACTGGTAAGTGGAGTTGGAGTTGACATGAAGAGCAGGATACTTATCTACTTTTGATTGAGTTAACGAGCATACCGTGTTGTAAAGTGGAATGAGTCTGGCGGTGGAAAATGCCCATTTCAATGCATCTTTAGTTCTTTCTGTTTTCTGTTCTTATGGATACTTCTTCGCCTTTCTACGCTAGACAGATAAAAACTGATTTCTTTTCAACTATATCGGGTTTCGGTCCAGGTGGTTTTTCTTTCTCATATTTTGATATGAAATTCCGAGATTATCCATTTTCGATAAGGTTCTTTTTGGTGACTGCGAGTTCATCTTCGATATTATCTTCTGAACATAATGCCCTAGCTCTACTGAAAAGCGTCTTCACCAGGCTCTGTTTGTAGCCAACTTGGTAGAAACTATGATAACTCAAGTATTGGCCAGTCCAACTTCCTTTCCTGTAGATGAATTTTCTAATCATCCCATCATTTCTTCTTTATATCGCTGAGATCTAGGAAGTTAGTAACAGCTGAAAGGAGATACTGATGAAGTCAAATGGGTCGGTTTTTATCGTGTTTCATGTTTTGTTGCTGCTTTTTTCAAATGTAGTTTATCTGAAACGTGTTGTCGAAATTCATAAAGGGAACTAATTGCTTTAAATTTTTCAAATGTTTCAAACATTGTTCAACATTCAGTGGGATGTTACCAACAGTCAGAAGAGGATGTGGTCTCTTGAGAGTGTATTTCTTTGGAAAGAAAGCATCTTTTTACTATCTTTTTTAAAAATAATAATAATAATTGCGGCTTTATTCCAAACATTGTATTTGATACAGAGTGGAACTGTCAGGATGTAGTACAATAGTGCATCTAATTTCCTCTTTACATTAAGGGAGGGGGGAATTCATTATCAGGTCATTTAAATTGATAAAAATATCAACGGAAATATAAATTTAAAATAAAGGATTTTCAAAAGAATGGTTACTGAACAAAGATAACCTGCTGTTCATCAGGTTTCACAGTTATACATACATTATAGGGAATGAATTAGTGTTATGAACAACATTAGTGTTTAAATAACATCGAATCAACAATAATATCAGTGGATTATAGTTCGATAGCATCAACATAACAATACACTGGATGTCAGATAAATTAGGAAAGGTAATAATACGAATTCATGAATTTCTAGTCTCTACTGAAGGCTGGCCAGGACAGCAGTAGTGGCTGGACTTGCTTCTTTTGCACACAAAGCACTGGTTGTTTGAGGCAAATTGCCTGTGCTGTTTGGAGCATGCAGTACCTCAATGTTTTTGGCATTTTATTTGGTACCCAATAGATGATAGAGAAGGATTCTTCAAGGCTGGCTTTGTGGCCAGTTTGGACCGGGTGTTCTAATATCGAACAGTTAATGGTTTTTACTACACCTTTATTTAGCCATACTGGGAGATGTTCTCGAGCACGAAAAATCAAGTTCCAAGAGCAACGGCTGATATAACTCGCTCCACCACAAGTGCAGTTGAATTGATTGATATAATTAGAAGTGGCTAGTGTAGATACTTCATCTGTCAATTGAGGAATCACCACCAGTCGTGTAGAAAATTAGACTTGTAGTTTGCCAGCATTTAAAGTTCTTTGGACTGATTTTCTTAATTTCTTCATAATTATTTCGCTAGGTATATCACCCTTGAATTGCAGTCGCATGTATAAAGACTTCTTGTTTACGGATAGTGAGTAGTTCTTTTCCACTTTCTTTCTCATGTGTTTCCTGATGAATTTGTCTGGATAGCTATTTTCAGTCAATGTACGATATACAATCCTTAGTTCATTTTAAATTACCTCTTCAGAGCATATAGCTTTAACCCTGTGGTCTAGGGTCCTTATTTAATTTCTTTTGTACTGGAGAGGAACGAAGCCATGAAAATGTGTAAGTGTTTCTGTCCATGTGGCTTTCCTATGCAAATTTCTCTTTATACTGCCATCTGATTTTCTTTTAGGGAGAACATTTAGGAAGGTAATTCTATTTTGGGATTTCTCTTTGCACGTGAACTGCATAGCGGAATGTAATTCATTGAATTGAGTTATTATTGGGTTCCTATCCAGATTATTATCACAAAGAATAAAGGTGTCATCTATATAGCGGCAATAAAAGGAAAATTTTCTGATTAGGTTATTCAAATGGCCATTCTCTATTTTGCTTATAAAGAAATCTGCCAACATAGAACCCAATGGGGAGCCCGTCGCCACCCCGTCCACTTGTCTGTAACGTGTGCCATCAAATTTGAAATATACAATCATGGTACATCTTAATAGCAATTCTTTTAGGATTTCCGTTGGGATTTCAATATTTATCGACTGGTTATCCATTTGTTCACATATGTAGTTAAATTTTTCTACTAGAGGTACGTTTGTGAATAAAGAAGTTTTAATATTAATGCTGGGAAGAATAAAAAGTGCCATTTATTTGCTGTTTCCCATTAAATTAGCAATTTCATACCTAATGCGTGATACATCAGGTAATGTCGAGTTTTTGTATGTAGCCGTCCAAGCTTAAACTCTCTTACAGATGCTTCTAGTTCCCCTACCTGATGAGATGCAAAAGGAGGGTTGTGCATAAAAAGAGTGCTCAGAGTTCGACAAGATGATATTCAACAATTTCTTACATGAACTCAAGTATCTGTCCACATTATGATGAAGGAGGGTTTACTTAGTGACACCCCGTTCGCCCAAATGATAGCTTTTAGTGCCCTTCTCAGTTTAACACAGTCTTTCTTAAGTAGCCCAGGGAGATTAAGTGAAGGGGCACTAACAAACTGTAAAATTGGAAGCTGAGTGATACCAAATTGTCTTAATTTCCTTAACTAGAAGGTTAGACGAAATATCTTCCGAGAAATTAACATGATATGAAAAGACCAGGTAAGATCAGAGGAAAGACATAATCTAAAGTATTTAACATCCGACTTATTGATATCAGGATAAAACCTGGGCATTGTGGTAGAGTATAAATCCATTATTGACAAAATTTTATTTTGGTAAAATCACACAGTGTTTGTTATACACTCATATTTACCACATTTCCAGCACAAATTATTGCCAATCATAATCATATTAAGACAATATTCACACAACTTTTTCACTTCATTTATATACATGAGTAAATATTGATGATTAGACATTTGAATAAAATCAATATAAGATGAAGTACATTCGGAAACATTATTAGTGTTATCAATCAAATACAGTGAGATGGGAAATAAGATGTTTTTATAGTCAAAATAACTAACTTGTTAGAATGTTATGACGTACGTGAATTGAAATATAATTTTAAGATTATTTATTATCCTCCTCTGATTTGACTGGTGGTGATAATATCTCCCATATCTCTGATATTTGCTTTGAGTCACTTACTATTCCGTGTATTGGGTGTAGACTCAATGAACCAGGTAGGATTCAGTAATCAACCACCTCTCTCCACCTCCGTATATTGCATTTTTAGAACTTTGCCTCTCTGTGTTAATGCACTCAGTGAGATTGCCGAGCTTTTTTCTAAATTACTTATTTTTGTGGGTGGGGTCAATCATTCTAACATTAGTTAAATTCTTATATTCTGATAATCTGACTACTTCTGATCTACTAGTTTGACCTATGTAGTTGATTTAACACAAAATCATTGCAGGGTATTTTGTAAATTATATCATTTTGTTTAATTGTGTCCACCACTTCCTTTAGCCTACAGAGCTTTTCCTACCTGAGTGAGTTTGTAGTTTTGAATGCCACCCTAATTCCTGCTTTATTGAGAATCCTGCGAAGGGTCTCAGATGTCCCCTCCTTATACGGCATAGCAGTAGATGCCTTATATTCTCTCTTATTTATGTTTTCATTATTAGTTTCACCATTATTTTTATTTTGCTTTTGACCTCTTTTGATCTCCCTAATGAATTTTATAGGGTAGTTATTTGATACCAACACTTCTTCTATATGTTTTATTTCATCATTTAGGTCTTTTGTTGCACTACGTAATACTACTGCTCGGTTTTTTAGACACTTAACTAAGCCAGCCTTTACAGATAACGACGGATGAGATGAATTAAGGTCTAAATATCTATTACAATGCGTTGGCTTCTCATAAACGCTAGTGTTTTTATTTTATTTTTTACAATCTGAAATAGCTAACTCTCCTTGTTCATTTTCCGATTCAGATGTGAATTTTATTCCTTTTACTAGTGAGTGAGTTTATGTGTGTGAAGAAGCTAGAAATATGTTCTGTTTTCAACACTGTGAAAGTGTAATCCACATATCTCCACTATATTTTTGGAGTAGGATTAAATTTATTAAGAGCAGTATTTTCCCGACTGTCCATAAAAATATCTGCTACGATAGGAGACACTGGTGATCCCATTGATACACCTTCTGTCTGTTTATATATTGTGCCCTGGAATTTAAAGTGAGTAGATGTGAGGCATAACTGAATTCCTAAAATAATTTTCTCAATGGGCAGCTTTGTCCTATGACTACGTTCGGAATCAGAAGTTAGTCCTTTGTTAACTGCTTCTATGGCCATACTTATAGGTATGTTAGTTTCAACCTCAGTACTGTTTGTGATACAAGGATCATAGAAACATTATTCAACATTGTTCAGACTTCAGTAAGATCCTAAGAAGGGTCAGTCAGTGGAGAATCTGACCAACTATTGTGTATGCTCTACATTCAGTAGGAGGACAGGCTGAAAATCTTCTGTCCCTTCTTTCTCTTTTTAATTATTTTATTAGCGATAGAGATGTCAAAATGTTTCTAATAACCAAAAGTTAGTTTTGCCTCTTTCATCTTTAATTACATATACTACTAATTATCTAATGAAGAGTGCTACAGATGATTCCTCTTAGTAGATAAGGCGTTGTAATTAATATTCACACATTTTATTATCATTGTAATTAAAAACAAACAGGATAGATTAACCCAAATGATTTTAAAAGTGCTATTCATTCTACTACCCGTGATACGTACACATGAAATAAATCAGTAAAATAATTGTTTTACACTACTAATTTAAAATTTCTGTTTCAATGTGTCCAATGGTTATAAATTAAAGAGTAGGTATGCATATTGCAATCTGTCTAATGAACACCTACTTTTATGGTGTGAAACAAAAATGGCGAAAAACTAGAGCTCTCATTATCTCACTGGCCCATCGTATCAGAAGAATTTCCAACATTGACTGCTTAGAAAAAGACCTCTCATTTCTCAAAATGGATATC